GCCCTAACCCGTCCGATCTAGGAAGCTAAGTCATCACGAGTCGAGTTAGTACCAGTGTGGGTGACTCGCTGAGAAGTCTCGATGCTGTTCTTTTACTATTCTTCTGTATTTTAAATTCTTATTTCTCTGTGTGCTTTTTAGCGTTTCTTCTCCTATGCTGTAAAAAACCATTGGAGTGAATTAATGAATGGAATTTTTTATATTATGTCTCAAAACTCTCTCACCAGTTTGCTATATTCTTATTGCATTAGCTTAGGATATTGGTATGCAAAAACCACGGGCACAAAACCCTATTTTACTAAGGATAGATCCGTGCTCATTCCATACAACACTTCAAAATCAAACAAGACAATGACGAATCGATCTTGGCTTTTCTCGAAGTGAGTTACTGGTTTTCCTTCTCTTCATTTTGTTCTCTGCCTGTCGTAACTTTTTTATTCATCTCAGAAATGTCCATTTGCTGCTTTCACGGTGTAGCCAACTCACAAACCTCTTGCCGAGTGATTATTTCTATAGTACGAAGAAAATATAATACTAAATCATTCCCACCAGAATCCAAATCGATATTGCTCCGATATGCGTGTAATAATATCACGATTTCTGGATTGCTATAATTCGATTGTTGCTCAAACTATTCTTGTAAATCGATTATAAAAATGGGTGTATGAAACCATTTGTTTCAAAGGGAAGCACAGGTAAATAAAAGCCCGTATTTGGCTATTCCATATGTTTATCGTATTACAAATTCAATTTCATAAAGAGGATTCTTTTCAGCCACGTGAAATCATCGCTGGCCAACCACATTGCAGAAATGAGAGAATACAAAAAGAACTCGATAGCGGCAGACTCGAAACAACATATAATCGACTTTTTCAGTTCAAGAAGAAAAGAAAAGAGACATAAAATGGAAAAAACCTCACATCGTTCCACAATAGGATTATTATTTATGATTATACAATCGCGTTATAATCGGCTCGCAAGAATTGGAAGTTGCAAAAGAGAATCGTTCTAATCCGTTCTATACTATTTCAACAACAAACAACCACAATGGCTACTCTTGGGAAATGAGTGGAGTCGCATGAAGCGCTTCGATCGAATTCTGGCATTTCACACTCATTTGATTCGAATTACTATCACTTACAAACTATTTATGACTGTCGCTTCACTCAACAACTCACTGACAGCTTTGAAAACATCGCATTCTTCTGTGGGAGAACTCCATTCGACTTTAATATCGAATACAATATGTCGCATATTCAATAGTCTTCAGTTTACACGCCGAACTGATCACATCTTGCCTTCGCTTTCGAAGTTCTATGAGCTCATCCTCCTCTGACTCTTTTTTTCGATCTTTCTCCCTACTCTCCATCGGAGCTGTGGAATCTAATGACGAATAGTCTCTTATTTGTTTCTGGATCAAAGAAATTGATTCTTATATCTATCGACACGCCGAATGAAGCATTCGTGATCCTTTGTCCAATTGATATGCTGCTCACCGTCGATTTCGACAAGATTGTTTGGATTTAGATCGAACTGGACGTCGATCTGCAGAGTGATGAAAAGAAGGAGACAGTCTGCTGGAGAGCCTGCCTCGAATAGTCCCTCCAACACGAGGGTGTTGATCATATTGTTCACGTGATGATAACGATTATATCTGTTATACTCCGAAAGCGCCTCGCGAATTCGATAGAACTTGAGCAACCCGCGGATATACATGCCTAGAGAGAAATCGAAGGGGAGAGGAGAGAAGCACCGTGGGTGAGGAAGAATTCTTTCTCCGATTTCCATTGGACGCGATTGCAGCACTCCCATATTATGGAGAAAACCGCGGGTTGTTGACATCTATGGAGGTGCGGGGGATGTATCAGAGGCAGGAGGGGTTGAGAGAAGAGAACTAGGAATGAAGGGAGAGAGCAGGTGAGAAACGAGATTGGTTTGCTAGAGGAATTAATCGATCTTGAGAAAATGATCGAGTTGATGTTCTGTAGAGATTGTAGATACATTTGTTCCAAGACCGTATAGTGAATTGAAAAGAAAAATACAAGAATGGGCACTGAAATATTGTTCTGAATCACATAATCCATCGTCTTTAGCTACTACATATTACTGTGGAGCGTTTCTATTTAGATCATATAACATTTTTGATCAGCTATTATTGTCTTGCATTCTTCTTGACTTAGTTTTTCTCTCTATACTAAATTAACATGGCTCCTATAACTAATATCCATTAATTTATCTGACTGAGTATGGATATTGTGACCCGTAGAGCTGCACTAATAAGTACCAGATGAAATATATTCAGTCGTTATCCGTTTTTTTACCACATCTAAGGCATTTTCAGAAGCATACATTCTTTTCAGATGATTTGCCACTTACCCCTCTATTTGAATCGTATTTATTGTTTATTATAGGGTGCATATTCTATGATCAATAACATTTCGTTATTTATCTATGCCCATTCTCTTGCATTTTTTATAAACTCGAACAATTCTCAAATAAACACATCAAGCAAGAATCTATCTTCTACCCTTCCTTCTTCTCCACTTATTATTATGATTGTTGTTGTTATTGTAATTGTTGTTCTTCTTCCCCCATCGATTTCCTTTCTTCTCTTTCCAGTTTCTATTGTTTTTATTATTATTATTATTATTATTGCGGTTATTCTCATGAATCGAGTTACTGACATTCAGAAGATCCGCAGTAACTGCAAAGGACTACAAATTATTACGACCTTTGATCGCAACATGCAGAGGATCCGCCACTCGCTTTCGCTTCCATTCCTTATTCTTCTCATCCTCCTCGTGCCCGCGCTTCGCTTCCTCCGGATTTGATTTCGGTTTCAATGCATCCGGAATCAGATAATCAGGAATATCTCGCAAATATGCTATCGGACGAACCAACTGCTTTGAGAGTCCATGCTGCAGCAGCTCTAATTCGTGGGGATTGTCTTCAAAATGCATCTTCAGCTTTGAACTATTCAACGCCTCTTTTCGCAACTGCATCATTCTCGTGTTTCGAATCAAGTTCGGCGTAATGCCTCGCTTCACACCCTCCACTCTACTCATTAGATCGAACCAAACCGCCTCGACCGATAGCTGAACGACTCGATCTGCGAGATGTCGAACGGAAGTCGCTGCGGAACGGGATGTCCATCCCGCGGAGGATTGTACTTCTGGATCTCGGCCAGAATACGTTGATCCTTGTCCGAGGTTGGTACGATGAAAGAGAGCGCCGTGCCTGCGTGTGGAAGGGATGAAGAGACGTGTACCCAGGTTTCCAGCTCGCGCCGTTCGGCCGATGCGGTGAACGTAGTGCGAAACGGAGGCGGGCATCGAATAGTTGATGACTGCGGCCACGTCTAGAGAAAAGAAGAAGAGAAAAGAAGAGGAAACTCTCGAAATCGATTCCGCGACTCACGTTATATTCGTCGTTTTGCGTCTCTTCGGTTTCCTTCTCGGGCTCAGAAGAATCTTCTAGGTCGAAGTCGTCACTGTCGTCCTTCTCAATTTCAGAATCCACGTCCTTCTCAATTTCAGAATCTTCATCCTTCTCGTTTTCAGAATCTCCCAGCAGCTCGGCGTCTTCCTTCGCATTGGTTCCACTGTTTCCACCATTCTCCTCTTTCTCGCTGTTTTCTGGAATGGACTGCGCCAATCCCTCATCTGTGGCGATCAAGTAATCGTACATTCCCTAGGCTCAAACTCTCTCTTCCAAACCTACTCGATTGAACTGATGAATAATGTTATTGCGAGACAAAGCAGGCAACTCGTTATTCAACACCACCGACTTCATAGAGAATCGCTCCAAGAAAATACTCAAGAAATATCCACTATGCGTTACTTTATTCCTTTCAAAAAAGCAACAAGTTCAACGAGTCCACAAAAATAATCACTTTTCCTTTCAAAATATGCAAACGAAGCAGCGCATAGAGCAGCAATGCCTTCTTTTCCTCAGACACCTCGATGAAAAACTCATTCAAGTCTACCTCATCACTCCAAACCATTCCTCTTACTCGTGTTTTCCTCCTCCAACTTCACGGTCACACAATTATGCAGTAACTTCTGCTTGAGCAGCGAAACCTCTTCATTCAGCGTAGCCGACAGAATAATATTCTGGCAAGTTGCAGGGATTCGCTCCACCACCTTGTTCATATCTTCCTTATACCCATACGAGAGCAACTACATTCATTATGATTGAGTCATAATCGCTCTACCAAATCGGCCTCGTCTACTATGAAAGTGTGGATGTTTTTAAGAATGTTATCGCTGTACAGTTTTAAATGATTCAACAGCATCTTGGGAGTCGAAATGACAACATCCGTGTATTCGTTCAGATAGCCCTTCTACCACTTATGTGAAACGAACGCAGCTTCAACCTGCTGATCCGCGCTGCTCAAATGCAAAGAGACGACATTGATGACGTTACTACAGTAACGAGACAAGGACCGAAAGCATTCGTAGGTTTGGACGCAAAGCTCTTTGGAAGGTACTAAAATGACAGCTTTGATTCCGTCGGTTGTATTGGTAATGGAAAGCAACTTTTGAAGGGTGGGGATTGCGTACGCAACAGTCTTTCCAGAACCCGTGCGAGCCTTAATTAATACATCCTTCCCACTCAGAATGAGAGGAATCGATTGTTCCTAGTCATTACCTTCTCGCGTAAGTTCTACCTGAACCAACGTCGGATGAACGTAACCCATCTCAGTTACCGCCTTCAGAATTCGCTTATCAAGACCTAGAAGTCAAAACGGCTGTTCCCAACACAAACCGAATTCGGAAGAGTCAAATTGCTTCTCCTCACTTGTTACTCCATTAACAATTGAATTTTCGCCTGTTTGACTCTGCATTTCCTGCTTTCTACAAACTATTAGTATCTGAACGTCCCAGATTCGTCCCCATTCTATCTCTATACCTTTCAGACTATTGAAGTATTATCAAATCAGGAATTAAGAGAAAAAAGCGACCGACAAAAAAGTCCGATTTTCTGGAAACAAACAACGAGTAAATCAAAAACACTTATTACTGTGCGCTAGATTGACGCTTCATGGGAGCAACTAGATTGTTCGGTATGACGCCCTCATACTGCCATTCACAACAATGAAATACCTTTTCGTCCTCCGTGTGGATTGTTCCGGACTGATTAATTATTTGGAGAGTGTCCCTCTGCTGCCTTCCCATATCCACTGCCTCCCATCGTATTGTATAGTACTTTTCTGGATAGGCAACCGACCATTTGAGCTGCGTCGCTACTTTCATCGGCAGAATCGCTCTGTTCTCGGGATTCTGCTGTCGGCACCACTCAATCAGAGCATCATCGTATCCCTTCGATGAGGTCAATTCGATATCGCTATTGACTGCGACGGGACAGAGAGATGCCCATTTGAGTCGGGCTGCATTCTTTGGGTGAAACACGCTTGTAGGAGGTGGCATGCAAATCCGTTCGGGTTGAGTCAGCAAACGGTGTAGAATAGCATTCAAATAAGTAAAGACTGTCAGGGCAAAGTTGTCGCGAGGCATCAGCAATTCGCATTCTACTTCGTATGTAAAATCTCCATTCAATGCTTCTTGGAGATTGTCGCCACTTTGAGTCACTGTCATATCGATTACATATTTGTTCTCAAAGTTGAAGCTGGTTCGCTTTCGATGACGAACTGTTACGATCCGAGTGGATCGGGACAGAGAACCGCTCTGGAGATAGTCGAGCGCTGCCTTTTCATATTCATCGACTTGGCTTTGGGAGATTGGGATTTCGTCTGAATTGGAGATTCGCAGACTATACACAGCTTCTCCAAATACAAAGGTTTCCTGCTCCACCCTCTTTTTCCTCGCTACTTCTTTGATGGAATACACATCTCCTTCCTTCACAGTAACGACACGCACATTCTGTTCGAAGATTATGGCATATTCATCATCTTCTTTTGGAGTATGCTTCTTTCCGCTCCGATCCACCCAGTAGTCTCTGGACAATAGATAGTTCCGCATGTCGAAAAAGAATTTTTGACTCACTCCAGGCACAAATCCAGAATCGGTCATCTTTCCCAAGCGCGATTCTATTTCCGTTGTCAACCCGATCGACTTCCAGTTTTTATTCAACAATTGAACGAGATAAGTGAAAACGAAGGAATCCCAAATCCTTCCAATATCAATCGACACACAACGCTTCTCCATCCAGCTACGCCCAATTATTTAAAAACGATATTTTGTTCTATCAAAATATGTAAAATGATCGGAATAATCGCGGTTTGGATTCAACTTTGATTGCCATTTTCTCCATAGCAGCAGGTTTGTTCTTTGGGCTCTACTTACCAGACATCTTACCTTGTACTAGAGAAAAGAAATTGAATCATGCTTGCCTCGTATCGCTGCTGTGTTCGAAACTTGCCGCGATATTGCTCTGCGATTCGTTTTTCTACGGCATCGTGATTCTTAATACATAAGTCATAAATTGTAGGGTTGTTCCTACCAAGTTGGTTGCTGGAGAGATGAGTCCAACGTCTAAACGGACAGGTGTAGTGGCACTGAAGATTGGAATGATGCCTCTGTGGGATAAATGGTGTACAAGAATTCCTTGTACAGTTCTCCAGGTTTTGGCTTATTCCGTTGTATTTTGGAGTAGATTGAGAATTGTCAGGTTGTACAAGTCAAGACAAAAGAGAAGGAAAATACAAACAGTCTTCAAGTTGGAGCGGGTCCTGTAAAAGTGAAAAATGTAAACAAGCCACTGTTCGGGCACTACAAGAGCGTTGGCGTTGAGCCAAAGCGATACCTCACAGAGTTCAAGGTCACGGAAGACGCGTTTCTTCCTGTAGGTAGGTAATCGAAATCAATGTGTGAAATGATTGTTGCGAAGGGAGTTGATGTTATGGCTGGAGCGTTCCGGTGGTAGTCATGGTGATTTTGACGGTTAACCATCAACCTACCACCCTTTTGTGAACCACCTCCCTCTTTATCACTCCCAAATCAATTTGCAAATGATTGACTTCCAAATCGATCAAACTGGACAGGACTCAGGTTTCTACTGCTGCAGCAAAGCAGTACTGAAGTATATCGCTGTCCACAGTGCGTTCTTTGCTGACCTTCTCTAGGCACGGAGCTCACCTGCAAGCACTTCGTTCCTGGGCAGCGCGTGAACATCCAGGGCATCACGCAAGTGAGTGCGGCGCTCTCTTCTAAGCGATAGGGAAAGGGATTCCAGGGCGTAATGCGGCGCTGGGGATTCAAAGGCCTCGGCGCGTCGCACGGCGTGAGCGTTTCGCATCGTTCTCTGGGATCGACTGGACAGAGAGAGGTGCGAGAAGAGGGAGGAGAGGAGTGACGCGTAGGACCCCGGGAAGACGTTCAAGGGAAAGAAAATGCCTGGACGAATGGGGAATAAGAACTGCACCGTGCAGAATCTACTGGTAGGCGTGGAATGCCGGTGCGATGTAGGTGTACAAGATCGATCCGAAGCGGAATCTGGTGTATGTGAAGGGGTGTGTGCCTGGAAACGACGGAGAGTATGTCAAGATCACCGATGGGCGCGATGTCGGTCCTTTCAAACTACCCTTCCCTACGTAGTGGCTGGCGTGCTGTGTGATGGCTAGGTATATTCCAACGGGGAGTCCCGAAGAGTTGGAAGAAGTCGTGGCGCCTGCTCCTGCAGAAGATCCTTATCCTTGGTATTAGTACGTCTCTTTTATCCTTCTGTTTGTTTGACTGCTGTAAATAAACTGAGCTATGGATCCCTCGCTCTTCTCGACTCCCTCCCTAGATCACATATCTCCTGAAGATTACTTGAACATGTACATTCTATTAACGATTTATTCACTCTAAGCTATGAACCAGACCAAGACTCGTTCCTATTTCTCGATGCGCTGGAAAATGAATATTCCTTTCTCAAGCAATTAGATCCCACCATGATTGTTGAAATTGGACCTGGTTCGGGAATTATTTCGACCTTTCTGACAAGAATTGTGAGTAAGAGTGTTTTTCGTTTTGAGACATAGACGAATCCCATCCTACAGCAACGCTAGCTATAGATATCAACATGGATGCGTGTCGAATCACGCGCGATACCTACCATCAAAATAAGGTGGGTATTGTTGAGTGGTTCTTAAATTAGGTTGTTTACGGTGATACAATTCGTTCCAATTTGCTTCAATGCACCCTTCAGAGACTTCAAGTAGTTGAATTACGAGTGATACGAAGTAGAACAAGGTGGATGTGTTGCTCTTCAATCCTCCCTATGTCCCTACTTCTTCGGAAGAGACCTTCCTACCGTTGTTGTTTGTCTGTGTTCTATCTAGTACGATTGAGTCGGCCTATGCAGGAGGAGAGAAAGGAAGGGAAGTGATTGACGTTCTTCTGCCAAATGTCCAGGTACAATAAAGTCAAGTGTGTGTGTGATGTAGTCCATTCTGAGCGAGCATGGCGTATTTTATTTGCTGTTGGAACGTGCGAACATCCCTGAGGAAGTTTCGTCAATCTTAAAAGCAACTGGGTTGAAAGGAGAGGTTGCACATGGGTGGTTGTGCGAGTGTAGATGGTACTGCGTAAGCAGTGTCGGGGAGAAGAATTAATGATCATGAAGTATTCACGTCATATGGTTTGAAATCGTTTTTCACTGAGAGGTTATTATTACTGTTATTGTTGTTGTTTTTTGAAAATCATTATTTTTAAATTCACGTTGAACGTTTTCGAATCGATCCCACTTCAATAAACAATCCAAACTTGGAACAGAAAACTCAAATGAACGAATATGCCCGATTTCTGGAATTGCTTCATTTCTTGTTGAATGAAAAATGTCGATTATCAAGGAATTGAAATCACAGTTCTCTTCGATCGCTTGGTGTCCCATCAAGGAGCATGTCAGTATTATGGCAGTTGCCTCCATGAAAGATTACGTTCCTTTGGAGGAGGATACCGCGAAATCATTAAGACTCTATGACTGGAGCCTGGAGGATGTTAGAAAGAGTCAGTTTGTTGCTGAGACGACGCTTTCTTCTGAAATTAGCTGTATAAGCTGGGGTTGTACAGCGATTCCTAATCGGGAGGGTGCCCAGGGCTTGATTTGCCTTGGAATGCCGTCTGGATGTGTGGAGCTGTGGATTCCTTGCTGCAGTGTATCAAAGACCTGGACATTGGAGAAGGTTGTCGTGTGCTTGTTCCGTGTGATTTATAGATCGCCTCTGTGGAAGTCAGTGCTTCTTCTGTCCAAAGTATCTGCTTCAACTGTCATAACGGGTGGAACCAGCTTTGTGTTGGCTGCAAGGATGGCTCTGTATCCCTTGTTGATCTGACCACGATCGATCATCCGGAAGTGTCGATGCTGACGAGACCGAATATGAATTATAGCGAAATCACACAGTCTTTAATTTTGACACTGCCTCACGCTTAGTGCTTCCTGGAATCCGAAGGTCGGCCACATTGTGTGCACGAGCACTGCTTCGGGTCGTGTGGTTGTGTGGGATATTCGCCAGAAGACCGTCTGGTGCGAGCTGTTTGACAACAACACCAACCGCGTGAGTCAAGTGGCGTGGAATCCCCACGACGGTTTGCAGCTTCTGACTGGTTTCTTCTTGGGTTTGGTGTGACGTGCAGCGATCGATTCGGACGCTTCTCCCTTGCTGAAGCTGTGGGACCTTCGGAGCAGCACTTCCTGCCCGCTGGCCGAGCTCGCGGGGCATTCGAAGGGCGTACTGGACTTGGTGTGGAACGCCGAGGATCCTCGCTTTGTGGCATCGACAGGCCGCGACAACAAGCTCTTGCTGTGGGACATGAGCAAGCGGGAAGTCATCGGCGACATCACGAACGGAGAGGAGAAGCCGGAGCTTCCGACGGACGCTGCGGACTTCTTCACGACCGTGGCGCGCGCGGCGAGCGCTACGCGCAAGACGCAGGTGCTGTGGAACCAGTTTAACCCCGCTGTGATCGCCACGGCGGCCTCCGATGGGAGTATCGTCCTGCACAACGTGGAGGGCGTGTCGATGAAGAAGTCGGTGGTGTCGTCGGCTGTTTATTCGGCGGTGAACGGATGCGAAAACCGCTTCCATGGAAAGGTGCTCTCCGTGTCCGATCTGGTGTGTGGGAACGACGTGAAGGAAGAGATCGGCCAGTTTGAGAGCGCCATGGCGCAGGGCGATCTGAAGGGATTCTGCGATCGGATGGTGGCGGTGTGCGAGGATCCGCGTGAGAACGAGATGTGGCTGTTTATGAAGGTGAGGGCGAAGGGCTGGCGTGATGGGTAGTGCATGTTCGAAGACGACGCGCGAAACACGCTCATTAAGCATCTCGGCTACGTCCTTCCGCCCACTGAACAGCCCTCGGAGAGCGAGGCGCAGCCCGCTCAGCCCGCACAGCCCGTCGAGATTCCGCAGCCCGTCGAGAAACCCGCGATCACCGCGGAAGATCTCTTCGCGAGCGCGTCTCCCCTCGCCAACGAATCGCCTCTCGCGGAAACTGCCGCTGTGGAGGAACCAAAGGAGCCAAAGGAAGCAGAGGAAGCGACTCTCTCCGCGGTGGAGGAAGAGAACGCGGAGTGGGTGTCCGAGCTGAAGCAGAGCGTGATCGTGGGCGATTTCGCGCGTGCTGTGGAAGTGTGTTTCAAGTATGGCCGATTTGCCGACGCCTTGGTGCTTTCCGCCTGGGGAGGAAGCGAGTTGGTCCAGCAAACCACCGTAGTTCTGCGACGTCTCTCTAAGCGTAGGACCGCTACATGCGCGAGCAAGCGTCGTCGACGCTCAAGTCGCTGGCGACGATCGTGTCTGGCGACTTGACGGAGGCCGTGGCTTCGACGACGGTCGCTTCCTGGCGCGAGACCCTCGCGATGATCTTGACCTACGCGCGCGAGGAGGAGTTCATCACGCTCTGCCAGCAGCTGGGCGAGCGGCTGGAGCAGCTGGGCGCTCGCGACGAGGCCTTGCTGTGCTCGATCTGCGCGGTCGATGTGAGCGGTCTGCTGCGTCTGGGACTGGGAGCGAGCCAGGATTACCGCGTGCGCTCGCACTTGTCCGTGATGGAAGTGCTGCTGATTCTCTGCACCATGGTGCCCGTGCAGGACCTCCATCTCGACGCCAAGCTCGCGGCCTTCGGAGAGAAGCTCGCCGTGCTGTGCGAGGCGCTGGAGGAGCAGGGCATGAACTCGATCACCTCGCACTTCCTCCAGAGTCTCCGCTCCGCTCCGTCCGCCCAGTCGCTGCTCCAGGCCATGGCAGCCGCCGTCCCGGACTTGCTCCCAGGCTTCCGGCCCGCGGCTGCTCCTGCTCAGCCCGTGGCTCAGCAGCCCGTGGTTCAGCAGCCCGTGGCTCAGCAGCCCGTGGCTCCCCAGTTCGCGAAGCAGCCCGCTCCGTCTATGCAGCCGATGATGCCCGCTCCGCTCAATGCCTCCGTGCCCGCTCCCAAGCCCTTCACTCCCGCGGCGACCGTGCCGGCTCCCAAGCCCTTCATGCCGACGCCGTTCGTCCCTGCGACGCAGCCCGTCATGCCGCAGCCCGCCATGCCGCAGCCCGCCATGCCGCAGCCGCAACCTGAGCCACAGCCACAACCCGAAGTGGAGTACGCGTAGGCGCTGCTTCTTCCTTCTCATCTCCAGAATCACGCCGCAGCAGCAGGGAATCATGAGCTCGCTGAGCAATACCATCGCACTACTGCGCGAAGCCCCGCTCACCGCGGTATTCTTCGAATTCGAGCGTGATGTGTAGCCCCAGCAAGGAATTCTCGTGAAGGCTGAAGAGGCGATCGCCTGCATGGAGAAGCAGTTCAAGAAGGGACTGGTGTCGCAGGAGGCCGAGGCACTGCTCGTTTTGTTGCAGGACAAGCTGAACGCGTTCGACTTTGTGGGAGCTGAAGATGTGTACAAGAAACTGAATCTGGAGTTCTGGAAGGCGCACAAGGACTGGCTGTTGCCTCTGAAGCACTTCCTGAATCTCTGCAAGAAGATGTCTTCATAGTAGTGATGAATAGTAGAGTATGGAATGGTTTGTTTGGTTGCGAAACATTTTTTGGATTTGGATTATTTTGAGCGCATCTTTTTATGGCACGGGATGGATTTGATATCGCAGATGTGCCTTCCAAGGAAAGTAGCTCATTTGTAGGATCTTCTGGATTTTGATCCAACCGAGTTTGAAAGAGAGTTAGCCTTAGGAAACCAAGAGGAATCCGTTTCATCTACGTCCTCAGAGTCTAGTGAGGAGGAACTGGCTGAATCCAATGCGGAGTATAATTGCCACCTTCTTTTGAATTAGGGAGGACATTCCAATGCTAACAGAGAAGGATATCATGGAAGCAAGAAACAGTCGTTATGGCAGAAGACGATCACAAAGTATTGACTACGGAAGCCAAGGCAGAGGAAAGTCTGGGTTTGAACAAACACCGGAACAAGCCCTGTATTCTCATTCTTGTCAAATCCTCAAAACAATCCCTCGTTTTCAGTACGAGGCTCCATCTTGGGTCCCCAACTTATTAAAAGTACAAGATACGCAAGAGGAACGCAATGCTGAGGTTGTTCTTCTGTTTTTGTGTTATTTTCAGGAGGTTTTTGAATATCAATACGACACAATACCCTTTGAAGTGAATGGAAAGCAGTATTCAGAATATCGTACCTTTCGTGTTGCTGTGTTGGGGGATGTTGGTATTTTTTATTGCTTCCCATTTGATTTTAGGCGCCGGAAAGACTTCTTTGTTACAAATCTACCTGCAGAAGAGCGAAAGTCCTTCCCTCCTAGCCACGAATGGGTTTTCTTTTGTTATTAATTGCTTTTATTTCTAGTGTGGATTACTACGAAAAACTGTTGGTCAAGGACGGGATTTGTTATCGCATCATTTTCTGCGATTTTTCGGGACAAGCCCGCTTACGTCCCGTTCTGTCTGCATATCTTGAAGCCGTGAATGGCGTCGTGTTTGTTGTTGATGGTTCAAATCCTCAGGGACTTGAAAATATCCTGATATTCACAGAGTTGTGTTTGATCTCTCTTTGGTTCCCTTCACAAAGGCCTTGAAACGTTTTATATTCCGGAACTAGTGAATCGAAAGAAGAGCGATATTCCGGTGCAAGTGATTCTCAATAAAACTGATTTGGAGTGCGAAGTGAAGCGGAAAAGCGTGCAGAATCTGATTCGCAAAACGTTCCCTGAGAGCCAAGTCGTGTTGGCGGGAAAGGGGATGAAGAGCCAAGGCGGAAATGCAGCTTTTCGAAATGTGGTCCGAGCGCTGATGAATGAACAACGCATTACAAATGAACTTTGTCATTTGTTTTTGAAGTGAGGTTTTTTTCAAGCCTCGTTGGTTTCTTGATTGCTGTTTATCATTTTCTGTATGATTATGTTTGGCGAAACACCGAAGCTTTAGGTCATTGATGCAGTGTACTTATCGTACTCCCTCTTTCCAGTGAGTCGACACTCCACTGCTAACTTAAAATCAAAATAAAAAAAAAGAAGAATTTGGAAATTGTTAATAAAGAAAACACTCAGTCTAACTGACAAAAAATAACAGCTAATATTTCTTGATGCGAGCTCCTTGTTTTGTCTCGACACCATTATGCTTAGAGGAACAATCAATGTTCACTCCACAGTAGTAGCGTTTTTCGGCACGAGGCTTATTTAAAGGTCGGTAATGCTGCTTCATTCCTTGTAAAGCAGGGTCCATACCCATAATTGGATTCTCATCATCACGATACACGAAATCTGATTCCTACGCTAAATGCCCTCAATTGCAACTTACTGAGAATGCAAATGCCGCTGCACATCCGCCACTACTTAGTATCATCAATATTAGAGTAGCCAGATACAAAAACAACGATACTTAAAAATGTCAGGAATACCAAATTTCCTACCTTGTCTCCTCATAAATCAGAATCGTTCAAAAGTACAGGTTAATTCATACAACTATTACTATTATTTTTTGAAAAAGACCAGAACCAGTGTTGTACAGTGGTCAGTATGATTATCATACATAAGCCAGTAGAGTGATTACTCCTGACTTCTTCTGTAGATTCTTTGTTTCTTCTCTTTTAGTGAAGGTGAGGGGATGCAGAAGCTAATATACAGGGTGATAGAACCAAGTAACGTATTTTGCTAGAACAAACAATGGTTATTCTAAAGAGAGGGAATACTTATATATCTAACATTACACGTGGTTGTTGCGGCTGCAGCTGTGGTTGTTGTTGTTGCTGCTGCTGCGGCTGTTGTGATTGTTGTTGTTGTTGCTGTTGTTGTTGCTGTTCTGCCTCTTGTTGTTGTGGTTGTTGTTGTTGCAGCTGCAGTTGTGACGGTTGCTGCTGCTGCGGTTGCTGCGGTTGCTGCGACTGTTGTTGTTGTTGTTGCTGTTGCTGCTGCTGCTGCATTTGCAATTGTTGCCGCTTTCGCTTCAACTGCTGTTGTTGCTGCAGCTGCTGCTCCGTCGTCATAGGATCGTGCCTTTGTTTCCGGGCTTCTTCAAAGCAGTCGCCCTCCTCTTTGCACTCCCAAACCAGAATATTCGATTCATAGGAGTTGATGATGCTCACCCAATCCCGTGTCTCGCTGAACTCCACCACGCAATTCACCATGCTTTCATGACACGACATCTTGTACAGCGTGAACACCACCGTCGGATATTCCTTCACAACTCGCTTCAGAATCAGCGAGAGCAGCGGTAGCTTCTCAAAATAGTTTTTATCGTTCTGCAGATTCATACTCACGCAGATCTTGCAGGGACGCTCCGCCTGCGCCAAGGTTCGCTCCGCTTTCTCTCCGAAGGCGATCATTTCCTTTAGCACTTTCCTGCGGCGTGAATTCACCCCACGAAGCAAACATGTCCGTGCTGCCGATCTCGTTCCACGACTTGTTCGGGATCGACCACGTCTCCGAAATCTCCACCTCTGCAAACCGTCGGAAGCAGTTATCCATCAGACCCACCGCATTGCACAGCGGCTTGCTGTCCTTCAGCGATGCTGTGTTGAGAAACGTGATCGCTGCGCCTCACACCCAGCCCTCTCTCTCTTACTGATCTTTCCGCTGGGCGCCGCCTCCGCGTCGTCGGAGTAATCCGTTGTGCTGCCCAGCGTGAAGAGAATCGACGGGTAGAAAACGAGGATCGTGTACAGGCCCGGAAACACGCTGCGGTTGATGCAGGTGCCTACGTTCTTCCAAAGCAGCACGTCCTACTTCCCACGTTATGCATGAGCTTCCACGTCACCGTCACATGGATCGAGTTCTGGTTGAACGAATCGAGCATCTTGAACAGGACATCGCACTTCCCCGCCTTCACTTGAATCTGCGCAGCGCGCTCCAGCAATTGCTTCTCCTGCAGTGAAGGAACCGCGCAGGAAACAAAGAGGATATTAGATTGGCTCGCGTGTAGTCTGAAGGATCTCCGTAGTTGTCAAAGTAGAACCGCAGAAGGTCGAGGAAGGACATGGAAGAATCGAGCACACTGCTATTCTGAATGTCGGACAAGTCTTGGAGCGAAGAGGATGCCATGCCTGTTGTGACCCCACCATTGTCTAAAATTGTCAGATTCAGCTGTGTCAGCCAGTCACTGTTTTGAACTGTGGGTTAAGGAAGAGCAGGAATACTACTTCCTGGGGAGTCTGCGTGGCTAAAGGGCCAGGCTGCAGAAGGCTCTTGCCAGGCAGGAGGGAATGCAGAGAAACTCTCCTCATGTCCTGGAAAGCAGCTTATGCTATCGAGGAGTGATAAAGAAGGAATGCGCGAAAAACAGGTATCTGGAACAGAACGAAGCGAAACATCGTCGTTTCGAAAAGTAGAATCTTTCTTAAGCCCTCCGCCGATCGAATCCTCTGCTGACTGAAAGGATTCTTTGACTAGTACACCGTTCGCTGGGAAGACGGGAGAAACATCAGGCTTTGAAGGAAGAAGTTTGGTTTTCTCTTGTTTGACCATCGGGTGATTCGTTTCCAGCTTTATGGACGATTCTTGATTTGCTCCTCCTGCCTTTTCCCCCTCATCTTCACCAGGGACATAATGGTCCAGGGCTTTCATTTTACTCTGTCTCACTTTGTACACCTTGCAGTGTACGTGTGGAGGAGGCCTTTGGCAGTTGCACATGCAACAGCATACTCCGGTACACCGAGGACATTTGAAACAAGGGTCATTTGCCACTGCAACGATGCCAAATTTTCTCTGTAACTGTTGTAAACAGAAAATGCGGGAACAATAGCAGCACTTCACTCTTCCCAATCGTTGACCGCATTGTACCTTCCCGCATAAATGACAAGTTTGGATACCTGGATGACTCGACTCATGCATAGATTTCATTGCGAGTTAGAACCAGATTATTGTTATCCTCTATATTCTGCAAATTCAAGAGCGCAACTTGCGTTCGTTTTTCAACGAAATCTCTTTACGAAGGATTGATAGAATCCTGTAACAGAGAAATGTGGAAACGTCATTGTAACCATTCTGTTTGGCTGAAGTCTGAGTTATTTAAGAATAGTGATTGAGGAATATTGTAAATAGGATTCAGTAATGTACGTTGGAAAAGATAACAATAAGTCTGCAGAAAGTGCAGTCAATTCCAAGGTTTGTGCACGTTTTTAGAGAAATATTGAGTTTGTCTTGAATACTAGTTGTATGAGAATCGTTTACTATGTGGATATATATATACATCAGAATCATCTTTGAGGCTTTATGGATAATAGGCTCCAATGTAATGCGGAGTTTGTCAGCAGGTTGATTGTATAGGAAAGTGAATAAGATATGAGTATTATAAGCTTCGAAGTGAAATAGTGATAGAGAGTACAAAAAGTGAGGGACCGATTTGTGATTTGTAGGAATGAGATTATGAAGAATTCGTTATTCGTAGAATTTCAGGTAACAGACGTCCTAGCAAATGACAATCAATCAAACCTATTCCACTTTCCATCACTGCCTATTCCACAATCAATTCCCCTTATACCTCCATCATTCACCATCTAATTCCCTATCCAATCACAATGACTCCCCCTCTCCATCCATCCATCCATTGATTCTTCTCAACAAACACATGAACAATTACATTTGATGATCAATAGGACTGACACACACCCAATCCCGAAGAAATCCCCTCGACCTCCACGCTCTCCTCGCTCGCTTTCTCCTCTCCCTTCGATCCAAACCTCCTACCACTCAACGCCACAGCGCTCTCCCACTCGTTCCACTCCTCATACTGCCGCAGCGAACTCGGATTTACCGACGGCGCGCACTACCATTCTTCTCTCTCCTCAATCCTCCTACCACTCGAAAAGCCTCCAAAAAATCTTGTCGTTGAATGGGACGAATCTTCCCTGCATCCACCTGCATCAAATCATCGACCTCCCGAATCTACGCATCACTCGCTTCTCTCCTCGCTCCCTACAGGACCCATCGCGGCCTCCTTACACAGACTCTTGATATCCGATCCGGAATAATGCTCGCTGCGATCCAGAATGACCTTCACATCTTCCTTGTCCAGCTTCACTTTCTGACCCTTCAGCAAGATTTTAAACAGCTCAAATCGCGTTCCTTTATCCGGCAACGGAATCTGCGTCCCACTCTTCTCCGCTCTCCTACATAAACACGCCGCGCCATTCGTCGAATCACCGCGTCATCCAGCTCAAACGGCCGATTGGTCGCTCCCATAATCAGCACGCGCTCCTCTCTTCCATTCACTCCGTTCTCTTCCTTTACCCCGTCGTCGACGCGCCGTCCAGCTGCACCATAAACTCCGTTTTCAGTCGACGACTCGACTCGTTCTCGTTCTCACTCCGCGCCGTTAAAATCGAATCGATCTCATCGATGAACAGAATCGACGGCTGGTTCCGATACGCCACGCTTCTCTCCAAAGCCTCCTCCGCGCCTACCGAAACAGCGCGCGCACGATCTTTTCGCTCTCTCCAACCCACTTGCTCGTCAGCGTCGACGACGACACGCTGAAGAAGAACGCGTTCGACTCCGTCGCCACCGCTTTGGCCAGCATCGTCTTCCCTGTGCCTGGAGGACCGAACAGCAGAATGCCCTTGGGCGGCGCGCGAAGCCCGGTGAACAGATCGGGGCGTTTGGAGGGCAAAATCACCGTCTAGGGAGTCAGGAACGAAGAAGCGAGGGAACCTCGTAGAGAATGCGCTTGGCGTATTTCATCCCTGCAATGTCTTCCCATTTTACGCTAGGGGAGGAGTGGAGTCAAGAAACAGTAACAGTAATATTAATAGTAACAGTAGGAATATCAAAAAGAGTAAAAAATAAACACACTTTCAGAAAAAGGATATGTCCAGGATCGTTTCAGCAACCGTTTTCTCGTAGGGATCATTCGCACTACAGGTAAAAAAAACACTCTAAAAACAATACTTAAATCGCAAAGCACTTCTGGATTTGTTTGATGGACTACTTTTTGTTTTTGACGTTTCCGGTACAGGTGAGTGACTGTTCTCGGGTGCGGAAGGAGAAGGAACAGTAGGAGACGTAGATTGAGAACTTGACTTCGTTTTACTTTGGAAATCTGCTTTAGGATGTCTGTGATCTGAAGTTCCTATTCCAAGTTCAGCTTTGGGCGGCTCAACAACAGGTTCATAGCCAAGATTCTTCAGGGCTACAAAGCGTTCATTAATTTGTCTTAAAAACGTCGTGAGCGAACTGTATACAGATTCTGGTAAATTACCTATCGGAATAGCCAAAATCCATTCCTACTCTTGTTTCGCTCAGCATACAATATCCCATCGCATAGGATATTGTAGTAAAGCGTGGAAGCTTGCTCGGGTTTCCGATTCACTTCCATACGAACAGCCTGTGTGTTACTTGTCGTACATCTCATACTGTATTATATTGATTTGTTAACCCAGTTATATATTGCCGATAATCCATGAAATAGAAGTAAAATAGAATTTATATAACAAAAAAACTCAACAAAAATTCTTTACATTGGTCGCTCCCTCCTTAAAAAACCGATCGACAACATCCAGCTTCAAAAGCTCTTTGTTATTCAGAACTGCGCCCAGATAGCAGTTTATTCTCTCGACGAAACTGTCGTGCGCCTTCTTGTTCGTCAATTGCAAGAATTTCATCCCTTGCGATGGGAGCTTCAGGCTTCGCAGAGACGACCCTCCGACTTGCTTTATTATGGCCTTGTGCAACGATCTACGCTCAACAATTCCCGCAACCCCCTACACAAAATCAGAAAAGCTTCGATGCACGATCCAGTATTTCGATCCCGTCGTTTCGCACACTTGAATCTCGTACTCTTCGAAGCTGTGAAGCAGCATCGACGGCTGCAACACCTCCGTCTTCCGGTGCCAGCCACAAATAATGGCTTGAGAGAGAACGAAGGGGCGAAGATCCGCAGCATCAGGGAAAGCACGCGACGAAGACGAAGAAAAAGATCCAGAAGATCCAGAAGATCCAGAAGATTTGGACCTGGGTTTTGATTGCGAGGCGGACCTTCTTCGCTGTGGATTGCCTTCTTCTTCTTCTTCTTCTTCGTGGATCTGATCGAGAATCAGAAACTCCTCATCGCTGAGAATTTCTCCATAAAACGAAGCGATCTGCTTGATAGCCATCGAAACATTGATCGAAATACAATTCCGCAGAGAGTCCACGATCTTGCAAATGTTCGAAGCGATCGTTTCGGTTTGCACAACCACCAACAGCTTGCGATCCTTCAAATAAAACTCGATCACGTCCATATCGTGCGAGACATAGTTCAATTTATCGTGAGGAATCATCCACAACACCTGACACAGCGAAGAAATCAACACGGAGCTATGATTTGTGATCAACAAATGATTGAATTGGTTGTCGATCACATGAATCATGTAGCGATCATTCACTTTTACCGCGCTCGAGTTCATGCAATTCGCCAGCATCTGCTTTCCCTCCGCTAAATAGCTGCAGAACGACGTGAGCACGCCATCCGGATACAAATAGCGAGGCAGACGCTTGCGACTCAGTTCCTGAGAGACGTGGGTCGCGTCCTTTACAGACTCGATGATCTTCGTCGTGTCATCCAACACGCCCGTCACTGGCTTCGTGATCAGCCCCACGATGCCTCTTCCCGTCCCCGTAATCGCGCCCATCACTCCATTTTCTCTCGCTCCGTTCACCGAGTCTTTAAACATCCCCAACACGCCCTCGCGCACGCCGTAGATGATCCCGCTCTTCCCTGCCGCGCGATCCAATCGATATGTTTCCGTTCCAGCGATCGCCGATAAGCCATTTCCGATCGTGCCCGTGATTTTGGACGCCGAGTTCGCGATGCCATACGTCGTGTTCAGCAAAAACGTCTTCGCTCCTCTCCCCAACCCATCGAAAAACTCCTCGGGTCCCTTTGAAAGGCCTTGAATCGGCTCGTAGAAAAAGGCCTTCACGCCCGAACCAACCGATTCGAACAGCCCCACAGGGTTTCCTAGCAGAGCCGCCGAGCCCACAACCTTGTAGAACTTCCGGAGAAGCTGACGGACGTAGTGGGAAGACAGGCGAGAGAAGAGCTCGGCTTTGCCCATGAGCAAGTCCTTCGCTAAAAACGCACTCAAGCGCACCTGCGCCGAGTCGATGTTGCCCAGCATGTTTCCAATCATGTCGACCACCGACTGCACGGGAATCAGAATGGGCACATCGGGAATCACAGAAGAAGCAATCGGCCGCGCAGGATCCAGCGCGAACGTGATGGTCAAGAGGAAGGGTTGTAGAGTGAAATGCTCTGCATACAAAGCCGACGAACAGTAGGAATACTCCGAAATGAGAAGAGGTCTACACGTAATGCGGCGATTGTCTCACAGTCCTACCGAATGAAGAGGGGCGATTCGCTTATTTGCTTCATGCAATCGCGCTCGATCTTCTCGAAAATATCGAAAGGCAGCTCTTGGACGAAGCTCAGAATGTTCATGATCACTCCAGAATCCGCAAACACGCGAACATTCTGCATCAATACCGAGAACAACTCCAAGTAGAGAAGCGAAGGATGCGGCTGAATCACCACCGTGGCGGAAAGCCACGTTCCAGCCGAGGGAGTGTCAAGAAGAACCTCATATTTCGCTCCGCTGATTTGGTTGTCGATCTGGAACGAATTCAATTCCAGTTCGATCACCTTCTTTCCACGATTCATCACTTTTATATCGCTTCTCAATCCCAACAAACTCACATAGAGAAGTTCTTCCGGCGTTCCATTGATCACAGACACTCCCACACCCACAAAGTTCATTTTCGCGTCGAAAACCACGCGTTCTTCCTCTTCGAAGCTTTCCCAGACAGTTTCAAAGGAAATGCACGCGCCGTTTACCATCATTTCCACATTCGTTTCTTCGGACACATCCACTTCCAGGCTCCACAGCAACTCGTCTTCTCCCTCTTCCTTTTCTGTATAGAACGACACTTGCACGCTCTCGCGTAATTGCAGGGCTTCTTGGCGCAAAACCACACTTTGCTCCATCGAAATCTTCCTCAGAGGCGCCGAGTCGATCGAGGAAAAGACAAACTGCTTCTCGTTCGCATCCGAATTGACGCGCTGCTGGAGTTCGTATAACGTCGAGGGAGCAGGATATCCATTGAAACTCGACAAAACGAATCCGACGCACACACCCGCATTAAAAGCGATCGATCCACGCACAAGCTTTGATACAACCAGCCTTCCATTGCTCTCCACCAACATGCACCCCAAGTTGAAGTTGGGAGCGTTCACAACCACACTCTGATTCGAACAGAGCTCGCGATCCGATCGCCAGTCGCTGGACGAAGGAGCTCGCTGCACTGTATCATTTCCCTTCACGGTGAAATAGACGGACGGCGATTCCTCCATCGACAAATGCTTTATCTCGTGGACGATCACGCGAAGAAGTGTTCGCTGCTTCGTAAAGGCAGCCGACGCCTCCTCGATTTCGACCGGAGACGCTGTCGAGGGCGATTTGAAGATGCCCTTGTGAGTAGCGCGATGGAGATACAAGGAGTTCTGAGCCAAGCTCGCCATCTGGCGACGCGAAAAAGAACGCTCCAGTTTGAACTCCGTCGTAACAGAACGAATCACAGACGTCAGCTCCTCTTTGCACTGCTGGAACCGAATCCATTCGAATTCATTGGAGCAATTTTCCTCCGTCAGGTTCGCGACGTTCAGCACACAGAACGCCTTCACCCCGGATTCATCCGCACAAGGAACCAGCACTTCGTAGCAATGGTCGCAATCACAATACGGAGAAAGATCCAGCACGCCTTTCATCACACTCATCTTTGAAAGATTAACGACCAACTGGAGATCCACTTCGCTCCCTGTGTTCACAAGCAAACTCTTTCCCCAATAGGGAAGATTGCCTCGCGAACTAAAGAGGTTCTTTTGCTGCCCATCGACTCGAATGATCAGCTTGGCTACGGTAGAAGAAACGAAAATCCCTTCCGCAGAAAAGCAATAGAGCGCTTGAATGAGGGTCGAGTTGCTCTGACAACAGCCGAATTGCTGGCTGAACACATTGGACTCCTGGATCATCTGGTTATCCAAATGATTGTAGAGATCCACAAGGAACAGTTTATCCGCTAGCAGCGAGGACAGTCGCTTCACTCCATTCGCATTGTACTGATCGAACACAACGATGCGCGTTGATTTGCGCAGCGTCGTAGTGATCGTCAACTGGCGATTCGTCGACACTTCAAAATAGCCCACACTCCCCATCTGCATCACATCAAACGTGTGCTTTACTTGCAACGATTCTTCGTCCAGCAGACTGCCAGCTTTTCGAGCATACACATCCACCAGCGTTTCTCCGTCGCACAGCGGCAATGTCCACATAACGCTTTGCAGAGGCATGACAACCAACGTTTGGTCCCAAGAAGCGCCGCGCTGGCGAAGATACAGAATATCCAGACAGCTGCGATTGTTCACACAGAAAGGCATCTGCGAAACAGAGCAAGGACGAATCACCAGAACGAATCGCCCATCATCCGCGGAAATCTCGACTTCTAGCAGGCTGGAAGGACACAAGGAAGGGTCCGAGATGAACTTGAAGAGACGTGATTTTGTGTTTTCACGATCATGAGAAAGAGGCGGCAATTGAAGAATGAAGCGATTGGGCGAAAGGGGGAAGCGAGAAGACCAGCCATACGGTAAGGAATCGGACTTGATTTGCAAGAAATGCTCAGTGTTGCTCGAATCAAAGTGATAGGGAAGAGAAGAAGAAGGCTGAAGCACCAGAATCGACTGCCTTGAAGAGTAAGAACGAATCTGCGTTTCATCTCACAAAACACAAACATTACTTTGATCGGAAGCGTCGTGTTATTGACAAACGTAAAGAGCGGAAATATGGAAACCACCAAGCTGCGTGCAAAAATACCGGGAGCTCGTGATATGGATACAAAGTAGGAGTAGACAATCGACTCTTCCGACTCTGCGGACAAAAGCGAAAAGGAGCATTGGCCACTTACGCCTGCAGTATCGACGTTAAACGCTTCGGACCACGCAGAATCGTTATCCGGAATCGTTAATCGCACTGCGTTGTGCTTCTTCTTTCCCAGACTAAATAGAATCGGGTGAATGAAGTTCTCGGAAGAGTAGTTCACTGACGACTTGGAGCAGACTTCGATTGGATGGGAGGGGAGCAACGTTCTGAACTGAGGAATCTCGCTATCACAAATCCTATATTGCCAGCACACTCTCCAGATCCTACAGCAGATCATTTCCGGACTTGTTGACAATCCAATAATCGCAGAAGATTTGGATGAACCACATATTGTACTTACTCTGCTTTAACGTGAAGTGAAGCCGAAGTTTTGAGCCGGTTTCCTCGTCGATCAACGTGCAGAAACCCTGCGGACTTTTCTTCGACGGCTGCCTTTCACGCCATTCAAACCAATCCTACTGCGATCGAATCCTTGTACTGCGAGAACTCAAAGTTCCGTTCGGCGAGTCGAAGGCTGATCCGCGTTCCCTCGCGCTTTAAAAACATAAACTGGCGAATGATCTCTCGACCCCCCGGGCGAAGCATGCGAATCGCAAGTAACCGACCCGCAGGATTCATGAAGCCCATTTCCAAAGGTTCCGGAATGCAATTTTCCACCTCCAAAATATCCGAAAAGACCAAACGGAACGTGGTGAGCGTGATTCCTTGCATTCCCATGATCGGAATCTCTCGAATTTCCTCGCAGGCCGAGATGTAAATGGGGTCGTCGGGAGTGCCGAAATTCATCGTGCCGTTTGCTTTATTGGTTCGGATGAGCTCGGTCGAAATCTTCTTGGTTTTTGAAGGGTTCTCTGTATTTGGCATGTTCAAGTAAACTGACCCCTTTTCTAGATTCAAATAGGGAACGAAATAGTTCCGTCCCTTTTCCATTTGAATCTGCTTTTCCTCTTCTGGTTTTGTTGATTTTTTGATTTTGCTTTTCTTTGTTTCTTTTGGTTCCAAAGGGTCATCTTCACTATTTTCAGTCTCACTATTTTCTTCTTCTTCTTCTTCTTCTTCTTCTTCTTCTTCTTCGTGGTCGTCGTCATCGTCGTTCTCTTCTTCCTCGTTCTCTTTTCTCTTTTCTTCTTTTCTTCTTCTCCTTTTATTCTTTATTGAATAACTCAACAAACAAGAAGTTTCATTGCAAATCGCGATCGGAGTTCCCACCGTGATTACTTTTCGACCTCGTTTCACTTCTGATCGAATGACAAACTGCAACGTGTTCATCTCCTTCATATCCAGCACCACGGCTTGCTCCTTCAATTCGTCCACATTGCACGAAAAGGGCGGATAGCCTTCGAACTCAAACAACAAAGACCGATTTCGAAGGCGTCGGAACGGAAGACCCAGCTGAAGAAGAGCCAGCGAGGGATGAGCGGGAAGAGCCGTAGCCAGCGTGCTATCCGCTTCAGAGAAATACAACACCTCATAGCGAGTCGGCAAGATTTCATCGGCAGTAGATGATAGGAAAGCCTCATAGCGTCGCTTCATTTCGTTAGCATAGCGAATCCAGAGAAGTTGCTCTTCTTTGCTCGCAACCAAAACTGTGATTGTTTGGCCCAACGAATCCGCCTGTTGATTGACAAAAGAGAGAACAGGGAAGAGAAGAGGAGAACGAGATGTATCGGATCGAGCCGATTCCACTGCTGAGCTATCCTCATTCTTTGAACTGGAATCGTCTCCACTCTCCGATTCACAAGAAAACACTTCAAAGGAAGATCCGAAGTAATCGCTCTTTCCCACTTCTCGAAGGAATGGAATCCGCAAAAACACGCGGATAAACGGAACCAACTCATGAAACTCTACCCAGCAGATGGCTACGCGACCAGCGATTTGCACTTCTGCCAACCCAGCGAAGAACGTCTTTTCCATGTCATCCACGTTCACCTGCGCAGTTTCATCCATCAAGTTCGCAATTCCGCCATCATCCTGAAGTCGAACGGAGAGCGGGAGACCAGAGCAGTTTCGAACGGCGATGAAATAATTGGCTCCTTCCTGCAGACCCTTTCCTTTTGTATTCGTGGAGAAGCCGTACACCAGCTGGAATACCGACTGAAGGCACTGCGAAGAAAGATTCAAGTTCAGAGCTTGTTTTGACTCGATCACCAAGTGAGTCTCGTAATTCTGAAGCCAAAAACCTTCCTTCCTTCCTCCATTCTACAAATCACACCTCATCCAGATCCTTACCACTGAACGCTTCTCCGCTTCCAAGGCCACCTTCAATGTCCAAAGCTCCATCACGGGTTCCCATGCCGTGCTTCGCGGATTGTAACTCTCCGCTCCACAGTCGAGCTGAAGATTCAGCTTCAATCGACCGGAAGTGACTCCGAGACGAATATTGGTGTTTGTTAAGCTCAGATTGGCGACCGGAGTGTGCGTATCCAAAGAATCATTCACCAAAACGACGATGATCCGGTTGATATCCACGAAAAACTGAGATTGATACGTCCAGAAATCGATGAACGGCTCAATGGCACTATCATTCTCTTCAGAAATGGCACTCGTAGGAGTCACCACCAGAGGAGATTCATAAAAGTTTTCTGGATCATAGGCAAAATCGCTCAGTGGCGATTCTGCAACCGTATCTGTCTCTTCTAAGAACGAAGTGTCATTCTCATTTCCTTGCTCGCTACACAAAATCCCACTCTTTGAGGTAACAATATGTCCTTTTTCCTTCTCTTTCTCCTTCTCCTTCTCCTTCTCCTTCTCCTTCTCGTTGTATTTCTCTGCTAAGATCGCTTCTTGTAATCGATTCAATGCATTCAGAATCAAATGAATATCCAAAACACTCAAGCGAACGACAATTCGATCCGAAGTGACAAACGTTCCGCTCAATTTACGACTCGTCTTGAAGACATGAGCATTCAGAATCAGATCGCACGGATATACAATATCAGCAACGCTTGGATGTGGCAATTCTTCTTGACGCGGATCGCCTCGGCATCCTCGCACGCCCATCAAGCTAAGAGACACATCAATATTGAACAATGGAGAGATGTGAACCCAGATATCAGTCGAAAAAGAGAGAAGCATCGAAGCAGAGTTCGGATCGCTCGTGTCTTCGACGAGGAACAAATAGGGATTGTCCATTCGGATTTCGATCACAAGATTCTGCACCTTTTCTACAGTCCATCCACACGAAAAGTTCTACGCGTCGCCACAATCGATCGAGGAGACGACGTTGCATCCAGTGCGAATTCATTCATAACACTCTTCACGATATTCGCGCCGATTTTTGCCACAGAGAAAAACCACGGAGTGGCGATCACTTTGAGTCGACCCACGTGCGCAGAGAGCTGAATATCGGTGATTTCCTTCTCCGCATCCCATCCGATCTGAAGAAGTTCTGTGAAATCGCTCGCCTTTCGAGTTTTCATTGTGAAGGTGGCAGAGATCGCGGGCATCGCATCTCCGCCGAAACAGAACGGCGTGCGATAATCGCTACAGACGTAGGAAGTGCGGATTGAATCATGGATTTCAAACATCGCCAGCGAAAGACCCAACGAAAGAGACGACGGAGAAGACTGCCAAAACAGGTCGATTCGCTGCATGTCTGCATACAAAAACGAATTCTACACAACAATCCACCAAACAAATCGATACAGATAAACGGCCGACAGAATGATACATATCCTGACCACTCGTCGAAGCCGCATATCCCTCATCGCCTTGAAGGCACTCCAAACTCAACCCTTCGAGTGTTACGGCAATCGAGAGACACGGCTTCATATGCAGCAGCTGGCTCACCAAATCGCTGTCGGATGCATGGGTTGATGGCGCGACCAAAAGGAACTCGCCCTTACACAGAATCGCTTCCTCTTTCAAGTTTCCATGCGCCAATCGAGCGAAAAACTCGAGCTGCTGCTGATTGATCGCGATCGCCAGCCGAGAAACAGCTCCCACGCACTGGATCGTCGATCCCACTTCGATTTGCAGCTGACAAGACGTTTCGCCCATTAATGCTTGAGATAAGGAGGACGAAAACACCGTGGCAGCTTGCATGTTCTCAATGCTCAGCTTCACAGAGGACAAAAAAGTCTGGTCATTCACTATCCGCACATTGCCAAGCTCGAAAACAGCGTGATTGCTGCTTGTGCTGTTTTCAGGCAACACTACGACGAAATTGTCGATCTGGATCGACATGAGCGGCATTGAAAAATAATCCTGAACTACCGATTGATCCTGCATCAGGTCTTTTCCGATTTGAATCGCCGAGGCATACAAACTTGAAAGCAAAGAGGGCGGACTTGGCTTCCGCATCTCCTTCAGCTCTCTCTGAAGTTCCCCCAAGGGTCCAGAGACCACAAAATTCGTCAGTTCGTCCACCCAACGTGCTCGTAAAACCAGCGAAGGTGCACGCAACGCTGCCGAGAACGCCAAGCGATAGCCGGGATAGGACGGCGCGTCTTTCGAAGTGAAGACGGAAATCGAAGCCTTCATAAACCACGAAGAAGTGTCCGTAACTGTCGTAGATGAATGATCCGTGGAAAGAACCGAAGAATAGCTTCCACATCCCTCGCTCAAATCGTCCACAGATAACTCGCCGAGACTGATTTCCACTCCGATTTTGGTGGGAGAAACACCCACTTGCAACGCAGTTCGATACAACTGGCCGACGAAAAACGGAGCTGATCGTATCTAAAAGAGAGCAGAACTCTTTTCTACATACGGCAGGAACGAGTAAAACAGAAATGGACTGAAGTGACAGCGAGACGTACACGTTGTTCTGCTCCCAGTTCTGCGGAATCCGACGACGACGAATGAAACGATAGGCCTGCCGTTCTAAGAACTCTAGGATTTTTTCGTTAGCAGAAAGCGATTCGCTGGATGGAGACGCTTTTGGATTTGAGTAGGCGACAGGCAAAAAGAAATCAAAGAGTTGGAGAAGCGAGGGAGGGAACAGAACCACTACATCACAATCCGACTCAAATCGTACTGCTCAACGGTCCGCAGTCCACCATTATCGACGTGACATTAGAAGCCGAAGAGAGCAATGGAGACGATCGACTAATGTCATTGATGGAGATATAGATGAGCTGTTTACTCGACGAGGTCTCGATTTCCTCGTGGGCAGTCAAGCGTCTCGATATCACGAAGTAAGCATCCTTCTCTTCCTTTCGAGATCGAATCCAGTCTTGAAAGGCCAATTCTGATAATGTGATATCGATGTGCGTATCAAAAGCATGCTTTGTGAGCACAACGCACAATTCTCGGATTTGCAATTCGGCCAGACTTTGCTTATTCTCTTCAATACTTAACGAAACGCCTTCGAACAGCAGATGCAACGCCAATGTGCGTTTGGCAGACAGAAAAGCAAGTTCTTCGTCATCGTAACTGAACGTTTTCTACACGTAAATCACTAAACAATACCAAACAACAGGTTCGATCTGCAGAAGCGGCTGATCCGAATTGCTTTTTCGATCCTCCGTTTTCATTCGGTCATCGATCCACAGCCATTCCACAAATCGTTGAGCGCTGTGCGACAGATGAATGAGCTGAGGCGCGAGATGAGCCACCAAATGTTCCAACTGTACTTCAAACCCGGTCGCCCATTGCAGCAAAGCCAGATAATGAATGCGATGTAACTGGAACCGAAGCATTGAAAGCGTCGCCTTCACTTCGATATTCGACAGCGAAACTTCGGAAGGTGACATGCAAATTCCAACCAGCGCATCGAGCTGGAAATCATGCAGCAGTTTCAGCTGCTTCGTTTCTTGAACTTCCTGAACCATCCAGTTTTCGCAGCCGTCCGTGAGCAACACAGAAATCGATCCAACACGCACATGGAACACCTCAAATCGATTCACATCCAAGCTGTGATCCGCTGCTTCTGCGTTTGTGATCGCCATATCGCCAAGACGCACGACCAACGTTTCCCGTGTTTCCAAATTGCTTTCCAAGTCTTCTGGAAGCAGAATGTGGATAGGACCCACATAAACATCGACTTCACTTCGACGATAGGACGAGATTTCGCGAGCAATTCGAACCTGCCGCCGTTTGGAGGAGGATGAAAATGGCGACTTTTGAGAGGAAAATCCATCGATATGAAGAGTGGAAAGAGAGTCCGAGAAGAACGCGACCACATCCGTGATGCAATTCAAATTCGCTACCAAACACAAGGGGAGCGTGGAGCATCGCAATCGAAGTTCGCGATCACTCGAAACGGTTGGAATTTCCGCGAACAACTGAAGGAAGGGTGTTTCTTGCTTTTTGTACATCTCAGCAGGCAGAAATACGCCCGACTTTTGGAAATCCAGAATCGCTCCCTTCTCTGGATACAGTATTTGATTCCAAGGAGAATCCGAGTTCTTCAAATACTTTAAATTCACGCTTTGAAGAGAACACCACAGCTGGCAAAACTCCTTTCGATTGACCACGCGAATTCCCGCGTTTTTGAACACAACGGAGAAGAGTTTCTTTTCATCTCGCTTCAAATTCAGGCTGATTTTGTGAATCGTAAAGTCCAGCCACAACTGAATATCCTGCGTCATTTCTCCCTCCCACAGCGATTCGTTCGGATCAATATCGAACCGGCTCCAAATCTCTTTCTTTTTCTCGTCTTCCGGTCGAGGCGAAGACGTTTTGCGAAGCGAATAGAGCGATTTTTTCTTTCCTTCCGATTCCTCCGCGACTTGCGACATGGCGATTCGTCGAAAAATCATAATCTCCTGCAGCGACAGCAAATCCTCCAGCTTCTGCAGTCGCATCAATCCCTTCGCGTCCTTTTTCAGTGACGGTTTCATTCCTAATTTTCGCTTGTACAACGACACGTATTCATCGCGATTCGCTTTGTAGGATCGGAGCTCGCGCCAGCTTCGATATCTGCTTTGGGAGCGATTGCTCCACATCACGCTCTGAATCGCGAATTTCCACCATTCCCGCGGGTATTTCTCCACGTCCTCGTGTGCCGGACGAAACTGCCGATAGTGTTCTTTGAGGGAGAGAAGACTCAGACTGCTGATGAATTCAGTGATGCTAACAAATTGATGATGCTGCAAAATGAACGAAAAACTGTCCAAGTTCCCGTCGATTTGAACGGCGGCTTTCGCTGTGTGTTTCATTTCCCAACATCGCGTGAAAAAATCGTCCATACTTTTGGAATTCCCAGGATTGGCGAGATTTGAAAACTTCGAAGAGAAACGAGTGAAAAACGCGGCTTTGCTCGCTTCCTGCGTCGTTTCATTCTTCATACAAAACTGAAAGCAGCGCTTCGCTGCCTCTTCCATCTCTTTCGATAACTGGAATTCCAAAAGTGTGGACGAAATCGCTTCTTCCACAGACGGACGGCGTTGCTCGGCCTTTCTCATATCCAGAAGGAGATTTAGCTCCGCAGAGATCGGCTGAAGCACATATTCCCGCGGTAGAACATTCTGGAATTTGGTGGGAACCGAATCCAAAAATGGCGCAGACATGGATGTGTGGAATGATTCTGCCGAGTCCGTATTGGTAAAAGCTCCCTTGGTGTCCCAATACACTCCCAGTTTTGTGATTTTTAGTTTTTTATTAAAGATTATATCAGTAGCAGAAGAAGGAGCAGCCGAAGAAGAAGAAGAAGAAGAAGAAATGGGCGTAGAAGAACGATCCTCCACTTCCTCTTCATCGGAATAGACGTAAAGTTTCTCAAGAATTACACCTGCAGTAAACGAAAGAGATCTAGAGAGGTCTTGGTACTCGAGACGTAGATGAATGCGATTTACTCGAAGTTGAAAATTATCGAGAATCTTTGCCAATAACTTCGCCGTCGATGATTTGTTCTCCTTTTTGCTCATTTCTTCGATGATTTGTTGCTCGTTTTCTTCAAGAGCTTTCAATTGGGCTCGTTTATTTTCCTTTTGGCGCTTCAGTTCCTTCTTAGAATCCAATTTAGTCTCAGATCCAAGGCCGGCAATCAAATACACATCATCCAAAAACACTTTCGTCGGTTTCTTTCCAAAATTCTTCCATGGAATCTACAGATGCTGAAAAGAAAAATACGATTACCTTTAATATCAGTTTGTCAACGAATCCTTCTTTCACTTGCAGTGGTAGATCTAGGGAATCTAAAGCTTTCTTTTTAATTTTCTATGATCAGAGATTCAATTCAAATGGTTACCAAATTCTTTAATTCGAGATCACCTCTCCAAAGGGAAATGTTGAGATCATCTTTTGTCAGACCTTCGAGGTAGTCACCCAGATAGTTGGACAAAAGATTACTAACAATATCCTCGAACATCGAGTCAAATTTAAACTTAGCAAACAATGTCCACCACGTTTCGTAAAAAACAAACATTCACTACCATATTTGTCACTCACTCAATATTATAAACTGTGGTACCGGCGTATCTGCCATATAAGCTCCACATCATTCCTACTCTCCAACTTCAAGCGTTCGCTGGAAATCGCGCCTTCATACTTCATCACAAACCTCAATTCCGGCAAATCTACCCTCAACACCTCTCTCCACATCCACTTCTCAGCACGAATCGTTCCTCATGTCGAATATCATCGCAGTTTCCGAACGTTTCCGCGCTCAAACTGATCACTTCCAGCTTCGCGCAGTCTTCGATCACCGGATCCACGCAGCGCTTGAAGCAGTTCTCGCCCAGCAGAACGCCTTGCAGCGAATTGCATCCGCGAATGTGGAACGCATCGGCGTAGACGAAGCTGTCGCCTCGCATCACAATCAGAAAAAGAGAAGGGCAATCTACCATTCGTGAATCGATTCACTGCTTCCCACTTTCGATTTGCAGCGAAGTAAACGAAGACAATGTCTCCGTTCCCAGCACCAAGTACGTCACATTGGGGCAATCGCACATGCGGAACGGCTTCTTGGCGTGCTCCAATTCGTCGTAGGTGCGATCGTCGAAAAAGGGGAAACCGCTGTACTCCACTTCCACGCTTTGCAGCTTGGGCAGCCCGAGGAGTTCGATCGAATCCAGGTTTTTGAAGGAATAGCCGCCGATCCGAATGGTTTCCAGCTCGCTCCACTGCGAGAAATCGATCGACTTCACCATATTGAACTCGCCGCGACCGCAAATCAAGTCTTTCTTTTCCCCGATAGCGAACGAAGTCGCGTTGAGGTCGGAATGCGGGGTCCGAGTCACATAGGGCGAAGCGCCGAGTAACGCTGTGACGAGATTTGGAGTCACAGAATCGCCGATCTCAACGCGATATACACTCATAAAGGCGTATCGATCGAGCGATGAGTGAACGTGAGAGCGTACTCCAACGTCTACAAACTCAAAAAGAAACAAGAAAGAGAACGAGAAAGTCGGAGATGGGTCGGATAGAGAAGACAATAGCCCATAGCAGAAAAGAAATCGAGCTTCGGAATGTCTGTTCGGTCAAAGAGAATTAAAAGCACGTACTTTGGAGCTCAAAGAGATTTTCGTGATTGAGTTCCCAATTCCCGTCAAAGGAATGATCATCAAAATTCATACCATTCAGATTTGGCAGGTTCTTAAACACTGCTTTTTCGACCATGTGGAACGCATAGTAAGGGAATCGAAGATACGAAACGCCACAATCTGGAAATGAAAGAATAGAGGAAGACACACCAGAGAGTGTAAACTCGCGAGTGAACATAAAGGATTCATCTCGAAAACAAAGACCATCGAGAGCAGGAAGATCTAGAATGAAAGAGGAAACAGAGCAAAACTCTTAATAGTGCAAGAGGCATAATTTGTAAAAGAGAAACCGCCGATCTCCACATAAGTCAAATTCGGGCAATCAGCGAGAAGGAAAGAACTATGGGTGTCTTTCGAATTTTGATGCAAATAGTTGATCATATCCGACACATAACTGCTCATCAACGCATCTGCATCGTCCTCCTCTTGCTGGTCAAAGTCGTCATATTCTTCATATTCGTCGAGAGGATCACGATCGTCATCATCAAAAGAATCGGAAGATGCATCGTATTCATCACTGAAATCATCA